GGATGGCTGTGTGTGGCAAAGTACTTTACCTCTACATTTCCAGTGTCAAAATGGGTTACAATCATTCGGGCAATACAGATATTTCCTGTTTTGATTTGACCAATCCGAACCTTCCTGGAGGTCTTCCGATCAGGTTCAGACTGCCTCCTGTGGGCTTTACCTGACCCATCATGCTGGCAGTATAAGTAAATTTTGTTACCCTTTGCACCAGAATTTTTTGAAAAATATGAAAAGGATCTGACTTCCTCATCATCTTTCCACAAATTAAAAGCTTTTTCTGACTCAAAATGAAAAGTCTTAGAAGGAACAATCTTTTGATCATGTTTTTCTTTTAAGTGTGCAATCAATGGCCCTCTCTGGAAAAATTTTTGCTCACAGTCAGCAAACAGACACTTACTCTTTTTCTTTGAAGATACAAAACATATTTTCTTGTGGCGCAATAAATTGTCTTTTCTAGAGAATGTACTTTGGCATTGAGCACAGGAAAATGTTTCAGATTGTCGGTTTGTTCTCTCCTGCTGTTTATCAGACACTGGTTCTGAAACCAAAGAGAGATAGCGCATAAAATGAATATTTGGAGTAAACAAATTTAAATAAATGAACTTCTACAATTTATTAACAACATATGAACTGAAAATGATTGAACTATTACCTGCTGCTTTCTTTTGATCACTCAACTTCTTTTTCTTTTTCTTCTTGAAATCAGGGGATAAAGAGCAATCTAAAATTTGAATAACACATAAGATAAAAGTAATGAGAAAATTAACACCAGTATGACGGGAAGAAGAGGGTCAAAAGTCAATGCATTAAATAAATATTGTACCTGAATGAACATCATCAGACGATATGTCTATGTTATGAACCAGAGAGTTTACAACCTTAGTTACTTTATTCTCATTCAATTTAACATGAGAAGACACATAATCTCCATCTCTGACCAAAGGAATAGCTGTCACTGCTTTATTTTTGCTACAACTTTGTTGGGAGAGGGAGAGTCTGCCTTTCCTTTGAGAACCAAAAGAACTAAAAGCAGGAGAAGAAGGAAATTCTGCAAAAAGGAGAGAGAAATAAATATGTACAAATTATTAGATGCTAAGATAGTAAAATAAAAACATGTAGAAAACTAACTTTGTTGACTTGTGTCAGAAACTTTATCAAAACAAAGTTGCAAATTCCTAGTGATGGAAGAAACTGAAGGGGATTTTGAAATAAGAGACTGATCTACTTGAGTCACAACAGCAGGAGCAGCAATAGTTGAATCTAAATTTACTGAAAAAAATTGATATATTTTAGGTGAATAAAAGAAGCCACTAGGGCAGTCATTATGTAATGAATTCCATACTGCTCTGGGAGAATCCTGGATCCTTTGTTGGGGTTCCTGGAGCGCTATTAATAGGTTTTGTTGGTGTAGACACAACAGGAAATGTTGTTTGGAGGGTACTAGACTTAATTCTTAGTGAACTACCAATTCCTGGCAAATCTTGAGGTAGAATGGCCTCGCTTACAATTGCAGAGCCTGTGTTGACAAGCAAGTTTTGTTTAGTTAAAATAGTAATCAGAGGTAATGACAAGAATACGGAAATATATACATACTGTTCTGATCAACTTTGGTTGGGGTTCCTGGTGCCCCATGAGTCAGCTTTTTAGGTGTAGACCCAAAAGAAAATGCACTATTTTGAATATTACGGGACCTCTTTTTTATTGGACTAGTTGAGGAGGAACCTGCTTGA